CAAAATAAAATAAAAATGCACTACTTCATCACAAACCGTGTACACAAATTCAGCCATTTTTTCCATCAGCAAAAGCGTTCTTCAACAGCAGCTGAACTTCCGTGGAACACTGTATCAGACTAGATTTAATGTCATTCTTTTGACACAGATCAACATAAAAGACATGTCAGTGTATAAGGAGTTCCATTTGTTATCCATGCAGCAGCACAGTCACACTTTACTGTGGTCCAGTATAACATCAGCACTGTAGAACCGAACACAACTCATTAAATACTGTATGGGCATTTTTAGTTCCACTTAATGTTTTCATAAAGAAATTAAATAATGTGACAAACTGAAAATCTGCAGCTTTCAGGGGCCCCGGGGAAGTTACTTTACTTACCAGGTAAACCAGCACAGAGTAAAAACAAAATTAAAGCTCAGAGGTCAGGGTAGAGTAGAATAAAGCAAATAGAATACAGTGATAGTGGTTCACATGTCAGGATAGCAGAGTGGACTCAAGCAGAGTGGAGTAGAGTACAGTAGAGTGATGGAGGCTCAGAGATCAGACAGTCGAGGAGAGTAGAGTAGAGTAATAGGGGCTCACAGGTGAGACAGTATAGTGAAGTACAGTAGAATGGTAGAGGTTCTGAGGTCTGAAGCGAAAGGTATCCCAGCATCCTCGTTGACTGGCGAAGAGATGTCGGCCATCTTGAATTGTAGCGGGGAAGAAAGATTGATGCGGTGAGCTCCTATTTTATTCGTTTAATTTATTTTCTCAGCAGTTAAATCTCATTTACATAAAACTACAGCAATATTGTAGTTATCACGGAATTAGTTTGTGAAGCGGAGTGGAAAATATGACTTTAAACGTCGCAGTTCTGCTTCGTTTCTTATTGTTGTTGTTTTGGGGAACTAACGCTAAGCTTACCGACCGAGGTGCAGCAGGCCCAAATCCGAACAAAAACTCGCTTGTCGACCGGTCTCCTCTCTTCGTGTACAGCTGTCTACATAGCCGCATGTAAAGTGACTTTATCTGCTTGCCAGATAGTGTTGTAACCACTTATAACTGTCCCCGTCGTGGTACTTATGTTGTTGTTAGCTGAGTAGCTCGCTTCGTAGTGAACGTTAGCTTACATGCTAACGGCCTCATGTATTCCTATAGAACTAGCTACTAGCTTACCTGCGCTTGTTAGCTAGCAGTAGCTCCTTACGGCTAACAATGTAACACGAGCTAGTGCTAATATTTGTTACTTGTATGGGACTCACAAAGAGAACACAAAGCACGGTTATTAGGTTCATTTGTGCTGTCAACAAACAAGCGGTTAGTTTAATATTTAGCTAACATCAGTTAGAGATTATCGGAGCTAGCATTAGCTAACATGGCCAACATTAGCCTTTTGCGACACTGCTGCACTTTTAACGTAGTTTTGAAACAATAACAGGAAAGCTTGCAATACAGTATGATGGTGTTTAAAGCTTGTAGCTGCAGGGTAATTTATAATCCGAAACGCAATGCTTTACAAGTAACATTCTACAGTATTACAAGCGTGTTAGCGCCCAATTAGCCGTTGTGTCTGGTTATCGCTGCAGCTACAAGGCAGTGTACTTTTGTCTTGCTTACTTTAGTAAACAGAAGTAGTTAATCCTGAGAGGTCACTGTCCAGACTGGGTTGCGGGGTTATACGGTATGTTTACAAGAGCTCGTGTGTTGTAGGGATGACGGGTCACTACAGGGCGATAGGTCTGCGATTTGTTTCTGTTCACTTGTTACCACAATTGTGTAAATCGGTAATCACTGATGTAGCCCCACTTATCCCAACCTATTCTAAGTATATTTGCAAATATAGTTGTAATGTTTTGGCTCATGAAAAATTAAAACGAGAGTGACCCTAGCTGGCAGAGGCCCATACATACACTTATATGCCCACCTGTAAAATGAGCAGTACAGTGCATCAAAAAGAAGTGGCTTGTGTGAGCAGGACAGGATCAAGCAGTAGAGCCATGTCACAGGTTGTATGATTGGTGTATTATTAGCTTTTGGTTATTTAACAGCTTATTGCTCTGTTTTTAGGGTTGCATGTGTTTTCAGACTCAAGAGAACCAGCCGCATGTTTAGGGTTTACAATGTAGGTACAGAATGTGAGGTGGTGTTAAAATTTTAAGTTAGTTGTTTATGGCTGCAGCTAATGACTGTGTTATTAATTAAGCTGATTATTTTACTGACTTTTGATTTTTCAAACAAAACCCATAGACATTACAAAGAGGGAAAATTAGGCTTAAAATGTAATAAAATAACTAACAATTAATTGATTGTCAAAATAGTTGCCAGTAATTTTTTTTTGACCAGCCAGTTGATTAATTGACTAGTAGTTGGTGCTCTACAGTTGGCAGACTATGCAGGTGTCATACAGCTGAAGGTTTATTCATAGCATGTTAGGTACATTTCAGAACAGTGTTATGAATCAAGGCTTTAGAGAAACACTGCAGGAGCTGATTCTTCACTGGGTTGGTCAATCTGACTGTTTCCTGTGTCTGTTTTCACAGGTGACACGCGGTATGTTTGGTGCTAACCGGAAGAAGTTTATGGAGGGAGGTATTGAGAGCGACTACGCAGACGACTCCAGCCTCTACTACAGCCAACAGTCCATGTTCCCTCCTCACCGTGCTGACAAAAATGTGAGTTTACTCTGCTGTTTTAAAGCTGCATTAACTAAGATTTAGCACAAATTCAGATAAATCAAGTGAAAAATTGTCTAGAAAAGTTGTCTCCTTGCTGTACTAATCCCCATCAGCAGTATGACTCATTTCAAAGACGAATCGTGGTGACTCCATGTGCAGGTCCAACCCAGGATGGGAGTGGACCTGTTAGACCAAAGAAGCCATTTTCTGTAGCACAGACAGAGGGCGACAAAGAATGATGCCAAATCAGGGTTAACATCGGTTTGGCCTTTCGGAGATGGAGAGTACTGCGGCTGTGGCTCAGGAGGTAGAGCGGGTCGTTTCCTAACCGGAGGATTAGCAGTTCGATTCCCGGCTTGTCCAGTCAACATGTCGAGGTGTCCTTGAGCAACATTAGTACTGTATCAGTATTACTGGGAAACGTTCCTCTGCTTGTGTTACTGCAGATGCATCTGCTCCAAACAACGTTAGACATACGTACGCATATTGCTAAAATGTAAACCTCTTTATTTGACACTGTGTCGCTGCAACGCCGCTGACAGCCACGGGCCCTATGGGCGCTATGGACCCTATGGTCTGTATGCATTAGCTCTGGAGCTGGTCACTACTGCTGCGCTACCTGACTTGTGTTTCTATTTACAAAATGATTCAGAATTTACAGAATCACTGGAGAATAAGATATTGTACCTACACTAGTGTTAAACATTTTTTTATGTGCAGACAGGCGTGTTACCTCCACAGTGTGATGTCAGCTGGCTGTTTTCATCTGCCTGCCAGGAGTCTGAACAGAGGCTGGAGAGGGTCAGATAGGATCTCTATGTATCTGTTAAGATTAACAAAAGCTGGTGATGTTGGGAAAGTTAAAGGATGTGTTTGTCTTTCCTCTGTGTTCAGATGCTGTCGTCTTCCTCTGCTTCCTCAACGGGTCAGCTATCGCAGCTAGGAGCCAGTTTATATGGCCCGCAGAGTAAGGCAAACACACCCCCCCCCCCCCCACACTCACCTGTTTCATTTTCCTAAAAACTAACAGCAGGAGCATCAGTTACCAGTTCAAGCCTAATTTTTATTACTGTTAATCTTATCTCATTATTGTTTGAAAAGTTTGGATGCTGAGGCTGTTACAGCCTGTAATGGTCAGAGTATCTGCAGGTGTGGAAAAGCAATGACTCTACTTTCCACCATAAAACCAGTAGAAAGTATTAAAAATTCTTACATTTCCTTTTAGTGTTTTTCTATTTTCTCTTGCCTAGGTTCTTAATCCAGCCACCCATTTTTTGACACTTATGTGGATTTTATCATTATTGCTATACACAACTGGGAAGTGGAGAACGAATACAGTCAGGGAAAAAATTATTTGAACCCCAGCTGATTTTGTAAGTTTGCTCACTAACAAAGAAATGATCAGTGTACAATTTCAATAGTAGGTTTATGTGAACAGTGAGAGACACAACAGTAACAAAAAATCCAGAAAAATGCATTACAAAAAAAGTTATAAAGTAATTTGCATTTTCATGAATGAAATAAGTATTTGATCCCTTTGCAAAACGTGCTTTAGTACTTGGTGGCAAAACCTTTGTTGGCAATCACAGAGGTCAGACGTTTCTTGTAGTTGGCCACAAGGTTTGCACACATCTCAGGGGGGATTTTGACCCACTCCTCTTTGCAGATCCTCTCCAAGTCATTAATGTTTCATGGCTGATGTTTGGCAACTCGAACCTTCAGCTCCCTCCACAGATTTTCTATGGGATTAAGGTCTGGAGACTGACTAGGCCACTCCATGACCTTAATATGCTTCTTCTTGAGCCAATCCTTTGTTGCCTTGGCCGTGTGTTTTGGATCATTGTCATACTGGAATACCCAACCATGACCCATTTTCAATGCCCTGACTGAGGGAAGGAGGCTCTCACCCAAGATTTGATGGTACATGGCCCCATCCATCCTCCCTTTGATGCGGTGCAATTGTCCTGTCCCCTTGGCAGAAAAACACCCCCAAAGCATAATGTTTCCACCTCCATATTTGACGGTGGGGACAAACACGGCGTGTTGAGTTAATGCCAAAGAGCTCGATTTTGGTCTCATCTGACCACAACACTTTCACAACATGACCCATGTGGCCCTTGGACCCAAAAAGAACAATTTTACTCTCATCAGTCCACAAAATGTTCCTCCATTTCTCTTTAGGCCAGTTGATGTGTTCTTTGGCAAATTGTAACCTCTTCTGCACGTGCCATTTTTTTAACAGAGGGACTTTGCGGGGGATTCTTGAAAATAGATTAGCTTCACACAGACGGCTTCTAACTGTCACAGTACTTACAGGTAACTCCAGACTGTCTCTGTTGTCACCTTCTCACCCAGCTGCTTGGCGATGGTCTTGTAGCCCATTCCAGCCTTGTGTAGGTCCACAATCTTGTCCCTGACATCCTTGGAAAGCTCTTTGGTCTTGGCCATGGTGAAGAGTTTGGAATCTGGATTGATTGATTGCTTCTGTGGACAGGTCTCTTTTATACAGGTAACGAGCTGAGAGGGCTCCCAATGTCAGCTCGTTACCTGTATAAAATACACCTGGAAGCCAGAGATCTTGCTGACCGATAAGCGATCAAATACTTATTTCATTCATGAAAATGCAAATGAATTTATAACTTTTTTTGTAATGCATTTTTCTGGATTTTTTTGTTATTGTTGTGTCTCTCACTGTTCAAATAAACCTACCATTGAAATTGTAGACTGATAATTTCTTTATTTGTGGGCAAACTTACAAAATCAGCTGGGGTTCAAATAATTTTTTTCCCTGACTGTATAATAAAAAAATATTTAATTACCATATTGTATATGCATGCCTCAGTCAGTATGAGGTGTTAAAAAGACTGTATGACTTGAACAGAAACCCTGGCAAAGATGCAAAAACAATTTCATCCTTGTGAACAACATCAGCGGCACATTATTCAGACAGCACTGTCATAATTCCTTGTGTGTGTAACATACTTGGCCAAATAAAGGTGATTATTATTATTATTATTATGATTATGATTATTGTACTGTAACCATGCAGCAACAGTACTGTGCACAGCCATGTTCTGACACACAGATTTAGAACAAGTGCCATTACATTTCTTTTATCGACAGCTTCATTGGCTTCACTGCTGAAATCACACAAACATCAGGAAGTCGACAGACTGACAGCTGAAAAGTGTTTGACAGTAAACACTGTACTCCTCTGACTCTCTGCAGGTGCTTTGGGGTTTCCCATGCGCGGTATGAACAGCAGCTCAGCACCGCCATTAAGTCGAAGTGGGCTCAACCAGTCTGCCAGCCAGCTCTCTAGTCACACCACAACACCCAACACTGGCACCATGCACACACCTCCCTCACCGAGCAGGTACATCATAGCTGGAGATGAAGCCTGGGGTGTAGCTCCTTTAAAATATCTTGATGTCTTTATTATAGATATCTGAAACATGGTAAAATGTACTCACATTTTAGAGAGAGAGACAACTTTCGTGTTTGCTTACAGTGGCAGCAAGAAAAAGTATGTGACACGATCTGATCTTCATCTAAGTCAAGAGTACTGATGAATATAATGTGCCTAAAATAATAGCACAAAAAATTCTGATCTTTCATGTCTATTAAGCACACACATTCAAAATGGTAGTGGAAGAAGTAAGTGAACCCCTGGAATTAATAACTGTTTGGACAATGTTCTTTTTAGTAAGCAGCGGGTTCCTTCATGGTGTCCTGCCATAGACACCCTGCTTGTTCAATGTTTTATGTACTGTAGACTCATGAACACAGATGTTATCCAGGTCCAATGGTGCCTTCAAATCTTTGGCTGCCACTCAAGGTTGTTTCTTTAACCTCAGTGATGAGTCTTCATTGTGCTCTTGGGGTCATTTTGACTGGGCGCCCACTTCTTGGTAGAGTAGCCACAGTTCCAAAGTGTCTCCATTTCTAGATCATTTACCTAACTGTAGAATGGTGAATTTTTAAAGTCTTTGAAATCACTTTATAACCCTTTCCAGCTTTATGTAAATCAACAATTCTTGATCATAGATCTTCTGAAAGCTCTTGCCGCTGCGCCCCGGGTTTGAATCACGGTTGCGTCAGGAAGGGCATCCGGCGTAAAACACGTGCCAAATGTCAGCATGCGAGTCGTCAGTGTTATTGTTATTGTATTATTTTAGCCACATTATATTTGTCAGTACTCTTGACTTAGATGAAGATCAGATCACATTTTATGACAAAATAACGCAGAAAACCATGAAATTCCAAAAGGTTCATATACTTTTTTTGCCACTGTATGTCTTGTAGTCTTTATCATATGCAAATGATTAAATTCAACCAGATTTGTGGTCAGATCTGAATCCTTCAGTTCTTTGGATGATTCTGCCTTTTAGAATGAAGTGAAGAAGGTTCACATATGAACTAATACATTCTTTACAGTCTGGACAAAGTTTGGTGTAACAACAGTAAATGTCCAGCCATACTGCACAGACAATGTGTCAGACACTGTATGTTGACATTTTGCTTTTATTGATGCACTGACTTTTCCACCCTAGCCAAAATTATTTCACATTTTTTCAAATTGTCACCGTCTCCACCCAGGTTTTTCATGTGCAAAGTGAAAGTGCACATAAAAATAGGTGGATAGAAACTCAGCATCTGAGAAGCTTCCAGAGTTGTTTCATTAGATAACAGTATAAAGCTCTGCTAAGTTTTGGCATCTGATAAGCCTTCAAACTAAAGGATGTGTTGCTCTAACTAGTCTTCCTGGATTATATTTCGCCGTCTCACCATTTTATGGAACAACACGCCCCCACCAGCGCAGGCCGTTTCAGTCTGAATGCTCACTCATGCACGTACCGTGTAACCCCTGTTTCAGCTCCAGCTGCCTGTGTTCCTCTCTCTTGAAGGACTATTTGGTTCTTCTTACCATTGCTAACTCTGAGAGATGAGACAGTCCAAGTAACTTCAAAACAGTGGTGATTTATTCAAAGGATCACAGGTAAAATTAACATTACACGCTCAGGTATCTTGCACCTCCAAACTGCTTGCAGGCAGATGTAAGATGAAAGACCCTGAACCCACCAGGCCTATACATTATATCCCCTCGGTTGGGCTAGCCCCATACTACACAGAAACGTCAACCAAGACGTCACTGTTGCCAGCTTTGCAGCTGGTCATAGCAGTAGTCAAAACATGAAGCAAATCAATGTGTGTGTGTGTCTGTTGGTGGTGTGTAGCTAAAAACATTCTCACGACCTCTAGTACATGTCGTGACTTGAACATAGGAACATTATGGCTAAGGCTGCAGTTATACACATCGTAATAATAATATTGAACACCCTGTCTGCTGACAGTCATCAGCTTTTCTCTCTAGTATCCTTGACCAGATGTACCCTGTAGAAACTCATAAGCATGACTAAGCATTTAACAGTCTAACTAGACATCCTATCTCCACTAAACATTTCTAATACATAAAGTATCTATCAAATTTCTATCTGACTAAAAATACCTAACACTCTCTCTGCAGACTTTGAATTGTGCTTGGAACCCACAAACCTTCACGTTCAACTTTTCATCTTCAGTAATTTCCTCTGTTGTGCGTCTGTCTCTTTCTGCAGGGGTATTCTGCCAATGAGCAGCCGAAGCGTGCTGAACCACAGCCAGCAGGTGGGGGGTCCGACGGGTCAAGCAGGGGGGATGGGAGGGGGAGGAGAGAGGGGAGGTGGCACTGGAGGAGGAGGGAGGAGCGGGAGCATGGGGAGTCCCAGCCGGTCGTCGCCCAGCATTATCGGCATGCCCAAACAGCAGCAAGCACGGCAGCCTTTCACTATCAACAGGTAACACACCTTTCTGCAGAGCAGCCAGGTGAACTGTACTGCCTGTCTGACTGGCTATAGCCCAGCCTCCTGCTCTGACCACCTGTCATTCTGGTTAGTTCTGCTTTCACTAAGTTCAGCTTGGTCATATTTGAATCTGTCAGATTTAATGTCTCCCATAGTCTGGGTGTTCGCATGTTGGTGTGAAGTTTATAAAATACAGACTTGATCACCACTGAAATGCTGCTGTTTTGCAAGAGAGATGTGTGTGTATATACAATATATGACATCCTAGTGTCTGCTAAATAAAGCAGTTTAATAGATATCTGACTTCATGCATATCATACATGTATGTGTGTACATTTCCTTTAACCATCTTAAAGCAATTAACATGTAAAATAAACATTGCTAGCGGCAGGGTGAAGCCGTTTTTCCACATCCCTGTCTGTCTGATTTCAGTGCTAGTTTTTATGGCTGCAGTGTGAACACTGTTCTGGGATGTGTCTCTGTTTGTGCGGCAGTATGTCGGGGTTTGGGGTGAACAGGAATCCCGGTTTCAGCATTAACAACTCCCTGTCCAACAACATCTTCAATGGCACAGGTACAACCAGAAAAACAAATATAATTATTAAAAAAAACTTTGGCCTCAGTTCTTCAGTGTTGGTGAGGTTTTATCTCAGTTGTTTAAAGCTTTATAATGTTAAAATTGTACATTTTTAAAATTTCCTCTGTGTGCTCATCCAGACGGCAGTGAGAATGTGACAGGGTTGGACCTGTCAGATTTCCCGGCGTTAGCAGACAGGAGTCGGAGGGACGGAGGCTCAAATCCCACCCCATTGCTCAACCCGCTCGCCGGTCGGGCTCCCTATGGTAAGAAACTAAGAGAGAGAGAGAGTATGAAACCACCAGAATGGGCGAGAAGCCCTGTTCACTTCCATTACATGCAGCAGGTTCCAGTGTTAATTCTCCAAGTAACAAAAACAGTCTGGCCTCCATTCAGTAGTTGTTCTGGAGCTCTCAGTCATATGACATGATCTTCCTCAGCAGATAGAATCTAGGACTGCAGATTGTTCAAATTATCTTCTGGAGGAAATTGTGGTTAGTTACTTTCAACACATCAGCTGTTGTATTCTGGTTTTCTTTGGTGGAACTGCAGCAGTACATTAATGTCTACAAAGTTTTATTAACACTTTAACAATCTGAGCAAAAATTCCAAACGCTCGGTGGTGAATGAAGTAGTCGGCTCCTTTACTTCAATGTGGAAACACCACGGTGTAAAAATACTTAGTTAAAGTAAAAGCCCTGCATTCAAAATGTTATAGAACTACCAAAGTATCAGCATCCAGATATACATGAAGTACCATCGGTACCAGTACTCATCCTGCAGAAAGGCCCGTGTCCCAGTAACGTCTCTGATACTGGATCATAGTAACTAATTACTGTGTCCATCACTTTAATGCTGCAGTTGGTAAAGGTGGAGCTGATGGTAACTTCCTTATATACTTATACTGTGAAGTACTTCACATCCTGCTGGGTAGCTGGGGGATTTCCTACTGGGATCAATAGAGTTTGATGGTTCTACTGGTTTTGGTTTGATTCATCTAGCATGATCAAATACATGTAGAGCAGTAAAAAGTGCAAGGCCTCTGATGTGTAGGGAAAAAAAAGAGCAGAACATGGAAATACTCAAGTTTGATGGCATAATGTGGGGCTTAAAGAATCTGTGATGACCATTTTCTGATGGATTATGTGAGGAAAGTTCTTATATTTTGAAAAGAGAAGACTAATAAAAAGATATATATTTCACTATGTGAAATTTATTATACATTAACGTATCAAAATAAGCATGTGCACATGGATCTTCACTGTTTAGGATAAACAGGAAAGACTGGCCTCAACTTGCCGGTATACAATATTTGTATGAAAAGATGTTACTATCTGATTGGTCAAAAACTGTTGGGGAGAAGTC